AAATCCTACACACTTAAATGTGAAAATCAGGTGAAGGCAAATCTCTGTTGGAAGATAGGAATTAATTCTGAAACCATTAGTTCAGTGGGCTCCTTGTTTAGGAACATTACACTAATGAACTGTGATACAAAAGTGACAAGAGAGATGATTAGTTACGGATTGCAAAATAAAGAGGTACTTAAAGATCTGATGCCAAAAGACATTTGTGCAGTTCCATAATACTCTTTTTCAGAAGGTTTAAGGCTCACACGATGATCACTCAGAAACCACGTTGACACATCTCTATAGTATTTCCCAACAAAGAAAACCAGGCTATTTTCTCACACATTTCTGGGAAGTCTTTTTTTTTTGGGGGGGGGGATTAAAATAAGATGCAATTGTATTCTTAACTTTTCAAATTATAAAGACTGATTTCAGCATTTTAACACCCAAGCAGATATAATAAACCACATGAGCTCAGAGCTCTCATTGCACTTACTTTTATCCTGCCTCCTGTGCTTACAGCTTCATTTCTGCAGAGAACAGGTTAATGCACTCTGCTGCGGGGGAAATAAATAAACAAATTGTTCATGCTGACTGAGTTACAGAATTACAGAATCGCTGATGCTGGACGAGGACTCTGGAGATCACCTACTCCAGCTCCTTGATAAAAGCAGGTTCAACTCGAGCGGGCTGCTCAGAGCCAGTGACACAGCTGCTCGCCGACCGTCCTTTCCCCATGGCGAAAGCCACGTTACTCGAGCACACCCTAGTGAAAATCCCGTAGAAGCCTTTTTTCTGGTTTTAAATCCTGCAAATACCTATTTCTAGCTATCGGTGTTTCGGTGCCTTGATGCTAGGGTCTGGATTGCAAAATATACACCCAGTAAAGCAAACAAGAAGAGGCAGATACCTCAGACCTTTACAAAAATCCAGTTAGGTAATTTACCTGCCTATGAATGACACTAAATTGCTTTTTGTAATGAGACATTGAACACAAATTGCACAGGTCTTCACAAACGTCCTGCAATCCTTTTCACTTTTTCTTTTGAGTATTTTCCTTTCTACATAGAGATTATGTTGTTGCTGTTACAGAAGAGGTTCATATTTCTGTAAATTAAAATCACAGAATCAACCACAGATTCAGTACAGTTGGCTTTTTTGGCTGCCAGGGCACATTGCTAATTCATATTCAATTTGCAATCAATCCAGATCCCTGGATCACTTCCTGCTGGACTGCTTTACAGCCGATTGTCCTCTAGTTTGTATTCATAACCAAGACTCCTCCTTTCCCTGGTGCAGAATCCAGCACTGGCTCTTGTTAAATTTCATACAGTTGGTGACTGCTCAGGTCTCCAGCCCATCCAGACCTCTCTGTAAGGCCTCCCTACCTTACAGGGAGTCCACAGCTCCTCCTGCTTTAGTATCATCAGCAAACGTACTTCATGTACATTCAATTCCTGCATCCAGATAATTTATAAAAACATTAAAGAGCACTTGCCCTAATACTGAGCCCTGGAGAACCCTGCTGGTGACTGTCTGCCAGCCTGATGCAACCCCATGTTACTCTTTGAGCCCAATCTGTCAGCTAATTGTTTGCCTAGCTGTGTGATGGACAATATGTACAGAAGGATACTGTGAAAAATAGTAACGGGACTTTGCTAAAATAAGTAATTTTGTTAAAGTCTACTGGCTTCCCTTGGTCAGCCACATGTGTGACCTTGTCATAAAAGGAAATTAGGTTAGTTTAAAGGAGGACTTTCCCCTTATGAACCCCTGCTGGCCAGGGCCTCCTTTCTTACCCTTCTTGAAAACTGGGAGAACATTTGCCACCTTCGAGGTGACTGGCACCTCTCCAGGGTCCCAAGACCACTGGAAAATAACAGAGAGAAGTCTCACAATAACGTCAGCCAGTTCTTCCAGTACCCTGCGATAAATCTGTGAGTCCTGATGGGATTTATGTGCATCAAGCTGGAGCAGCAAGTCTCAAACAAGTTCAGGGTCCGCTGAGAGTCTTTCATCCCCCCAGTCACTAAATTCAAAACAGGTCTCCAGGGGGCCCAGGGCCCATCATTGGTGTTGAAGAAAGAGGTGACTAAGGCATTAAAAGCCTCTGCTTTGTCTGTGACTTTATCTGTGAGATTTTTGACCTCATCAAGCAATGGATCAATATTATCTTTGATCTTCCTTTTGCTGTTAACATAATTTAAAAAGCCCTTTTTGCTCTCCTTCTCAAGTTCTGGCCAACTTGAGCTCCAATCAAGCTAAGGTCACACTAATTTTCTCCCTGCAGTGGCAAACAGTATCTCTGTAGTTTTCCTGTGTCACCTGTCCTTTCCAAAGTCCATACCTCCTCAGCTTATGAAGTTCAGTACAGTCTCTACCTAATTTCACAATGCAAATCTAAACCTGTTTTCTGACACCAAATATGTAGGTAATGCTATATTGTTAGCAGCAGGGGATTTAAGGTAAAACCACTTATGCATCCTGACTGTCTTCTCATGGCAAGGTGATTTTAAAGACAGGGTTAAGAATAAATATACAAAATATTTATAGAAAGTAAACTAAGGAAAGGATCTAAAATGGTAAATGCTTCAGACTTGCAATGGGCGTAAATAATCTCACAGTAGCCACTTGCAGAAGGTACCATAACAATAAAGAGACCTCAATAAATAGTCCTGAAACTACTTAATCTGCCAGATAAACTTCTCTGAAGTGTTCAATTAAAATGCACATGGCTAAGATAAACTATAGTAAGACATACGCATTTTTATTTACTACCACTATTAATTCTCCACTTTCAGGATATATTGCTAGTTGTGCCTTTATGATTCTTTGAACTGCATCTGACTGTGATGTGCACTTGTGCGCTTATCTGATACCTTATCTTTAGGCAAACTTAAAACAGCTGTGGGATTTCCCATACTTACAGATGGCTCCCCACTGCTTAAATGAATAAGGAAAAGAGAAAAACCCACCAGCCTCTCATTTTGTGCTACAACTGAACAAACTCCCTTTAGTTGTCACCTGTTCCAGAGACCTGTACAGACACCTGAACCAGTCTTGTTTTGCTGCTGAATGCTGCAGGGCCAACACGTGCAACTGAACATAAACCCATTCTGACCAAGACATCTGGTATTTGTATGGTACTATTCATGGTTCCCAGCTGTCAAAGCACAGCACATCCTCTACTACTGGCTAGGAACAGAGCTATTTAGGTCAATCAGTACTTAACCATCTCAGGCTTTGCCCTCAGCAAAGTAGCCACAGTACAGACAGCTAAATCTGTCTTTTGATGCAGTTTTGTAATGCTCATGAAGAGCTATGCTTGAGCTAACTAACATCAGTGCCTGGGATAACCCACACCAAGGGTAACTGAGTGCTGACAGTACACATCACCCAACTGAAATTACATTCTGCTCAAGATCACTTGATAACACTTCCAAACCTACTGCTCAGTTTAAATATATATATATATATTTGTTTTCTATCCATTAGACTGTTACCTCCTTTAAGAGGGCATATCCCTTGTTTCTAATCAAATGGATGCAAATGGCCCAGTCCATAGCACAAAGCCAAACTAAAAGTAGTCTTTCATCAAGCTGTATTTCACTCAGGAAGGGACAATCATCAGCCACAGGACTTGGCCCTGCCCCACTTTCTTCTCTTGAAAGAAGCATCAGTTGTTTGATGGTTGAGTGTACAGGTTAAATGAGTAAATTCTCTTAACCTTTCAACCCTATGTTGGATCCTGCTGTGCCTGTGAAGCTAATTAAATTAGCAGTTTGACCCTTTCCTGCTCACTGAAGGGTTTACATATCTTAGCATCTATTCCCTCCCATTGCTACAGAATTGAAGGAAAATAATCTTATATGATATGCATCACTGTAAAAAAGAAATAATACAGCAGGTGAGGTCAGTCACTGGAACGGGCTTCCAGGGCAGCAGTCGCCACACCAAGCCTGTCAGATTTCAGGGACTGTTTGGATGACGCTGTTGGTCCAAATCAATAAAAGACTTAAGACATTTAGAACATAAGCAAAACATTTCTATTTTTCAGATGAATGTGAAATCTTACTCCTTGTTCTTAGTAAAATGGGAGGGAAAGGAAATAGAGCAACAGAAACACTTAAGCAAAAGCCATGTATTTTATTTCTATCAAGTTAGTATTTAATGCTTAAAGAGCTGCACAAAACAACTTCAGAGAACTGCACCTTTACACTTCCCTATGAGTTATCATGGCTACTGAGAAAATAAAAAACATTTTAACCTTGTTTTAACCTGAAGCTCTTGTAGTATAGTTTTTGTAAAGTTAGCCTCTGCTGTAACTGAACACCACAGTCACAAGCATCAAAAAGTTATAGGTACTTTCCATATTAAGTTAGTAGTGTCAGATAAAATATCAAGCAGCAGTACAGGACTGAAAATAGCTGAACACATTTTGATTAGAAAGATTATACCTGAAATTTAGGACAGTGCTTGTACATAGAAGCCTACAAACAAACCATGTCAGCAAAATCAGTAAATGGTTAAATTATATCAACATTTGCACTAGGTAATATTTAGTTGACTAATATATCATACCATATGAAAATAACTCTTTGGACAGGTTAGAGTGGATGCACTAACTGAATAATTTTCTACTACAGCATTCATATTATGAATGGAACTGTTTACAGCAGGGACATTTTCTTTGGTACAATGCACTTAAAATGACAGTAAGTTGGCCACATGTATGTAAGGCAAGAGCATATCAAGGCAGACTTGTAACAGGAAGTCCCTGATGGCAATTGCAGTAATCACTGTATTGTATGTGTACAGATCATACTTCAAAATTCTTCTTTTGCAGCATGCAGCAACAAAAGATACTTTCCAAATCCTTTAGTAAGAAACTGCAACTTCTACACCATCAAAAGCATCCTGTGAATCACTGCTTCTCAAGAGACATTATCAATATTGCTTCTTCTATCATCAGTATTATGTTAAGCTGGGACTGAAAAACAAAAGCAAGCATATAAACTGTAACATACTCTGAAAAAAATAAAACAGAAAAAACCAAATCTAAATATTTTCTGTAGTTGAGAGTTACTCATAATAGTGCAGATAATGACTTCTACTACCAACAATTCCACTTTCATATGTAAAACCAGGAAAAAGAGTTTAGGAAAAGGAACTCAGTAATATTACTTGAAATGCAATAAATTTTGGCAAAATCACAAGCAGGCTGCTAGCATATACCCAAAAATGAGCACCCATCTAACTTCTAAAGTTTTTCATAGTGTAGCAGTTATGGATAATTTCTGTACCAAAAAAATCTGCTTTCAACTGCAGTAAGATATTAATCAACAAAATGTTATCTGCAGTAAAGTTGTAGTTTATCGGAAAAAAAATTCATCAAGTGGCTTCTGGGTTTGGAGTAGAAAAACAATTTAGTATATGAATATTTCATTCAATGTTTATATATTAAAAAATTGGGCATGTTATTGGGGAAACTTATTTTGAACACATTTCTGATATTTCACAATTTACTTGAGGTTTCTGTTTGGGAGTGAGGAAATAAAGGAAGTGAAATGCTTATCAGGTCATATTCTGCACTCAGTGTAATTTTACAGCCAATTTCATCAATCTTTCTCAAAACTCTGTCCTAGGAAGACACACACAATATTATGGGGTAGCGGCAGTTGGACCGCTTCATAAAAATAACATATCCTACAGTCAAAACCTCAGTGCTGCAATCAAATTTGTCATTTCTGGAATCCCCTGGGTGAATTTCTCTCCCACTCTAACTTCTCCCTCTCCCTCTTGCTCTGTTCGTGAACAGTCACAGTTTCTTCATCTCTGATATCAAAGCACAGCAATTCAAGTCGAAAACCTTGGTTCCTTCAAGGAAAAAAAGAAAAAAAAAGAAAGGATGCTCATAGAATATACAGCAATCACTCTAAAACTAAATCCACCATGAGGGTAATTTACACACTTCTGTCTTCTTATCACAGAACAGGAGCATGTTTGTATGTTTTCTAAAAGATTACTGAAATTTGTGTTATAAAAGTGGTATGTGAAGAAGTTTTTTCTTGCTGCCTCTGATGACTAGCATCAGCACTTACTTTTTGCGGTCCTTGCCTTCGTTCAAACTAACAGCAAGGGTAGAGACAGATGCTTCTGACTGGAGTAACTCAGCGTTAGCTTTCTTCTCAAGAAATGCAGCTCTTTCGCCTTCTAGAACTTTTTTCTCTTTCTCTAATTTCAGACGCATTTCTTCAAGAATTTGCATTTGATGTTCATGTTTAGCCAGTTGCTGTTTAAAGCACAGAAGAAATATTGCCAACTAGTAACACAAGGTGGTGATATCACAACACAAAACCCCTCTGCAATAAAACAGTAAAACCTACCTCAACTTGTGTTAAAACTCATTTAAAATTTGCAATTCTTTCCCAAAACTGGTAAGACTAAAACCAACAATCCAGAAAAATAACCACTGATATCAGATTGTCCTCACAGAAGCCAGGCTACAGACACAAAGTACAGATGGAAACCTAGTTTTCAGCCTGCGTAACCTCACAACATCCTTTATTCCTCTTGCCTGCCCTCATAAGAAATAATTAAGACTATAAATGTAACAGTAGGCCTGTTTTACACAGTAAAGCTGTCAGATTTTATAAATGTGTGTGTGTGTGTATGTACAATATTCATCTATTTACTTCATTGCAACAGTTAACTAGAGGCAGTATAAAACCAGATATACCAACAAAAACATTCAGGGTAGAAACAGTAAGCTCCTAAGCAACTGTATGTCTCAGGAGTGGTAATGCTGCACAAGTTTCTTCTGAATAAAGAATGAGAAAGCAATCTGAAGCACAACAGAAATTCCTGGTTTTCTTTAGTTTTCAGATACACATGCACACTTCTCAAATAATTAGCAGCAAGAGTCTATGACAAATGCTGCTTAGCAGTGACTGCATGATCGCTTTCTCACATCAGGAACTGGGAAAACTAACAGCCATAATTCAATTGCAGTATGCAGAGCTCACAAGCCACCAAATACAAATCATAGAAGGGTAACATCAAAGGGTACATGGCCATGTGTTCTTCCAATTGGATAGCCTAATACTGAGAAGGACTGAACCTCATTTTTTTTCTCTGCAAGGACTTAACAGATTTAGAAAACAAATTATTTAGCCTTCTCATATAAAACATGCACCTAAACTCCTTGCAAAAAATGCTACCTCTTTGCTGGAAGACTGAGTTACAGAATATTAATAAGTCTACATAAATTTCCAATTTCAATTACACTAGTGTTTGAATATAAATATGCATGACCATGATAGAGTCTGGCAGAAAGTAGATGAGAAGATCCTGTTTCACCAGTTCAGCTTGACAGGACTAAATCTTCAACAACATATTCAAGAAATGTTCCACATCTCCAAATATTCTTAAGGCAGCTGGGTATAGATGAGATTTTAAAACAAAAACATGACCAACAAAATCATGCCACCCAAATTTCAAACCTCTCAACATGAGGGTTGAACTTATATTTAATAACTAAACCTGCAGGTCATACAAGCACATATGTCCCACTCCCTCAGGCTGAAAAACAACCCCTGGGATTTCTTTTTCTGAAATCATGTTTGGCACAGAGCAACCTGTGCATGGAAAGCACTTACAGTGCTGCTATGGCATACAGGTATTTCTCAGCATACTGCTAGAGAAGAAAAAGAAACATGCAACCATTATATTTATCAGCCCTTTTACTTCACCGTATCACCTCCTACCTATTGACTTGTCCCAGCTTTCCAGCAAAGCCTTTAGACTATAAGCTCCCTCCTTCCACAAAAATCCAAAGACATCCACTTACAGAATCATTTAGGTTGCAAAAGACCCTTCAGATCAAGTCCAGCTGTTAACCTACCACTGACAAGTCCACCACTAAACCATGACCCTAAGTGCCAGATCTAAATGTCTTTTAAATACCTGCAGGGATCGTGACTCCACCCTCCCTGGGCAGCCTTTTCCAATGCCTGACAGCCCTTTCAGTGAAGAAGTTTTTCCTAATATCTAATGTAAACCTCCCCTGGCACAACTTGAGGCTGTTTCCTCTTGTCATCTCACTTGTTACCTGGGAAAAGAGACCAACAGGCATCCCACTAAAGCCTCCTTTCAGATAGTTGTACAGAGAGGTAAGGTCTCCCCTGAGCCTCCTTTTTTTTCAGGCTAAACAAACCCAGATCCCTCAGCTGCTCCACATAAGACTTGGTCTACTTGTTTGCTGTGTCTAATCAATCTGATAATCTAATCAATCTAATTAGTCAATCTGCTTTTGATTACTTACACTACATTACTGCCCCCAAAATACCAGGAAATTATGCTAAAAAGTTAACTATTTCAAATCTCAGCAGACGAACTTAAGTCAGACAGGCATGCTTACCTGTCGCTCTTCTTCTTTAAACATTGCTACTTTCTCCTTCTTTCTCCGCACATACTGTTGTCTTAGCTCCTTCTCTTCTCTTTGCAGTTCAAGGTAGAACTCAGACCACTCTACTTCATAGACTTCCTGTGGACTAAAGTCCAAAAATGTAAGCAAGTCTCCAGTATGCTGCTTTAGTCAGTGTGGAATGCCATCAAACTGGAACATTATTTAAACAATTAATATTCATCTGAAATATTAATTTCTATAGCTTGCAACATAAAAATTCATAAACAAACCTAAACAGAAGGAAGCATCTTACCTTTCTGTGTCTATATCACTACTGCTATCACCACAGTGCTGGCAGGAAAAGTTCTGCTTTTCAGGGAGAAATGAGTGGAGCTTGTGCACAGATGCATCTCATACACCAAGAGCACACTACCTTTGAAAAGCATACCTGGCTTAATGATACAAGTTTTTCCAACCAAATATGTACCACAAACTTCTCTAAGTCACAAGATTCCAGAGAGACAAAATTGGTGGATCAGAGCTGTGCTAATGGCTATTACAAAACCAAAAGGAACAAATCCAACCTGTAATGGGTAAAGTTCCAGCTCTTTATCCTGGGGCTATTCTCTTACACCATTCATAGTTTCTGACAGCTCCTGAGTGCTGACTGGTCAGCCACCCTCAGCTATCTTTAGTCTTGCCAGGTATCTCATGCCTTCCACTAGGAGGCAAAATAAATATATATGTTTACCAAATATTTAAATTTGGTTTAGATTTTTAATACACATACACACTTTTGTACCAGTTTAAGTTTGTTTCTATTAAAACAGAATGGAACAGTCTGTTTCTGTTTCTATTAAAACAGAATGGAAAGACTTACAGAAAAGTACATCCAAAAACTTAATCATTTAAGCGTTAAGTAATCTTAAACAGCTTTCTTCCATATTTAAAATGATGACTGACCAGTTTCCCAATCCTAAAATTTCTTATTTGTATTCCAAATATAACCCAAAGAGAGAGAAAAATCATCGCGAAATTGCACATAACAGATGTAATGTTTGTAACCACTCAAGGTCAGAGCACTTTTCCAATTCTATCTTATTTGAGCAATACATTGCAATAAAACATATTCAGAACAACAATCTTTTGGGGCTTGTCTTTTGGGGTAGGGCGGTTTATCAGCTGTGAAGCAACTCAGGTCATCCTGAAATTGCATCTACCATATAAAACAGGGGTATGGTTTTCACACAGGTATGTTAATCCAAACGATCTTTAAGTTTGGACAGCATATGTAATAACAATAAAGCTACAACACAGGTTTTCTAGTGCTAGCAATCTCACTGTACACACTTTTGGATCCTGTGTCAGTTCTACTAGCTAACATGCTGACTTTGAGTGCAATTAAAGCCACTAGAACAAGTGCTAGACTAAACTAACATGTTGCAATCACACCTTCATTTCACCATACAGATGCCTTTAGACTTGACCTAAGTGAGTTTACTAGGTAAAAGCAATTTTGTCCTGAAATTAGTAAAAGATTAACTTTGAAGACACTGAATTTATGAAGTAATCAAATTACATGTTTCAGGAAGAGGAGAAATAAAAACATAATTTTTAAATGCTCCCTCCCCCTGGACTGAATTGTTCTGGAAATTGTTCTGGAAATCACAAAGACAAAATTAAAGCAGTGTTTCATCTTCTGTGTCTGGCGTATCAGCAGTATAATGATCCAAACAGCCTTTGGTTTAGGAGGCTTGGGGAGGAGGGGAAAACAATTCATCAGCTCTTAAGCCAATCCTTTCAATATTACTGCCTCCACTGCTCACATTAAAACACTTTTCAGTTTACCTGACAACTGTTTCCACTAATTCGCATATAGGACATTATGAAAATCAAATTTACAGGTTCTTTCATTCTTATGGGTTGGACCTCTAGGATTTTATGCTTGTACAAAACCTTTTGCAAAATTAAAAAATCACTTCCTCGGTTTTACATCCAACAGACGCTGCATAAAATGCATGAAGCATCCTCCCATATACGCCCAAACACTATCCATCAACCATTATATAAATTTTGCCATAACAGGCTTTCCAAGTCCAGACTGGCTGCTTTTCATGGCTGGGAAGCCAGATTATACCTATATGACTAGCCTTAGATGGTATTTTATTTATTCCCCGAAGCACCATATGGTGGATTCTTTAAAGCAGTTTACCACATTATACTTTAATCTGATACGGCATATACGTGACTGAAATTCTCATGACCTTTTGGAATGAACCCCCAAATTTTGTATATTGTCTTTGCAAGGAATGAGATTAAGTAAATTCCCAATTAGCCGTTAATTTAAGTTATTCTAATTGTTCCTACCGAATTCAAATAATGGTTTGATAAAATACCAGTATAAACCAGGTGTCCTGAAAGCAGCAGAATTAATAGCCCAAATTCCTATACATGATTTTATGTTCAGTGATTGTAATACTCAAAGTCCTGCCTAGATCCTTCCACCTTTTTAACTATATAACTAGTGCCCCTCCATACTTCCTAAATATTTTTTACTCATTGTGAGTACTTTCACAGCTCTTTCCCACACAGTAGCCTTAGCTACTTCCAAATCACCCATGACTTTCTCATCCTACCGCAGTACTGCCAAGTTCCCAGGAGTTTCAAAAGACAGTACTTGATTCAGAAGTAATGATTTACTGACAACAAATGCACCCTGGCTGGCCAACAGCTGGTAGGAACTTCTGCTAGAGGTCTTCTGCTTTTTCTGCAAGCGAGAACACTAACCATGTAATCCCCTGGAAGCATCCAACCCTTCACAGAAGACTGAAAATGGAGAGGTGGTTAGTAAGTTATTAGGGACAGACTAACAGACTGCACAGGTAAACTTAATTCTCCCTGCAAGTATGGTTAATTAAAAACTTATCTCTTAGAATGCAGTTGCAAATAAATGAATTTAAAAGTTATTATGATACAAATTCACAAAAAATGTACAAGTAGAGAACAGGTATTTTTGAAGTTGTGTACACTTTCAAGTGTACACAAGAGCCTCACTGCAGACTACTATCTTTATTTTCCCTCCTCGCACCTAGTAATAAAAATGCAACTTTTCTGTTGTGTGATGAAACCATCTCTTACCAGGTCTCCTATATAAACATAAACCTTACCAACACATTTTTTCACATATAAGAGTGAAAGCCTTTGATGATGATGATGATGGCTTGACTTCACGAATGAAGATTTGGGAAGGGCTTTACCCATGCTTACTACAAGCGCGCTGATGACTAAAAAGGCCAAAGCCTTTACAGATCTGCTTACAACCTACCTATCGCACAAGGTAACTGGAAACCCAAGAATTACTGGGTTTGCTTTGCAGTGGTGTATAATTTTTGATGAATAAAATAGTGTTGTAAATACAGAAGAGTGGTACAGGAACTTTACAGGCGGATTTTTCACCCAGGACAACATGTCATGAAAAGGCAGGACGTTAGCTACTCAAGTGCCAATGTTCAAATGCTACAAACACCGCTGCATTAAAATCAGCAGAGTACTGAAGTCTAGCAGAAATTTTCTAAATTTACATAAAAAAACCTCAATTGAAATTATCAAACTTAGTAATTAGAAAGCTACATCACAGGCACAAAATACAACTTCTCAACATGCATTTTGACCATTATTTACACAAATGCCTTAAAATTTTATTCATCAGTTCAGTCATACTGCTCTGCTATATTAACTATACTTTAAAACTGAGGATCTTAGAATTCTTGTGTACATATTGTAAACATCTTTAAGGACAAAGAGGACGACAATAACACATTTTTGCCTAGAAGAAGAGGACAACGCCTATTCTGAAAGATATTGAAATTTACAGGCAGCACTGAACTTCCTCTATGGAAGGAGATGGCTTCTACCACACTGTTGAGGAGGACACTTTTTATCATTCCCTTAGTAGCTCCATAAAAAACCTTATGGGTAGGGCTACATTAGTCTGCCAGTTACACTACATAGAAATTCTCTAAATTCTCTTCCCTTTTTATGGTATCATAAAATATCTCTCCCAAAAGACAAAAGGCCTTGTCTTTCAGCCCTCAGTGCTACTCACTATGCCACATAACTGCAAGACAACCACATACCCTAGATCCAGTCCCACTTTTAAATATGGGAAAAGTCTATGGTCAGTTTCAGTTGGTTTTAAACCTCACTCACCTTCGGTTCTCTGTTTATGAGACAGATACTTCTTGTTAAGTCAAGACAAATGTCAGGAGACCGCTGATTCATGGTAGCTCAAGATCAACTAAATGAACTAATCTTTAAATGCACCTTGACATTAAGACTTGAGAAAGAAGTGCCCATATCCAGCATCTTCCTTGTCCACATTAATCCCATTTATTATTTGAACAATATATAAATTGGACCTAATTAAAATAGAAGAAATGCTGTGACTGTGAGTTACAGTAACTGCGAGTTACAGTAACTGCAACTGCCTTAGAACTTTTGCACAAAGTAGAGGTGAAAGCAAAGAATTTAACTCACTAAAACCAACTATTTGGAGGGAAGCCATTTAAAAGTTTGTTTTGTTGTGGGTTTTTTTACCAGAACAGAATGGGTAAAGACAGTCTGATGACTAGGTAAAACAGGAAGTAAACAAACCAGCTGGTTCAAAGCACTAGAAATTGTTCTTAATGCAAAGTCTTATTTTGTTTTCATGTCTGGTTTAAGTCAGTATTTCCCACCATGACTATGCAATAGTAGCACTTTGATAAACTGTGAAGACTTGAACAAGTCCTGAAGCATCAGTTCTTCCCCATCAGGATCCTAACAACTTATAAAAATACAGTCCCATGCATAAAACAACCAAAGGAAGTCGGAAGAGTGAGAGGGAGAAGACAGAATTGGAAATAAAAGATTAAATAAACTGGATAGAAAAACTGTAAATATTTCCTGCAAAACGTAGCTTTACTGCATGAAACAACCAAGTGTCTCTAACCCTCTCCTTAACTTTCCTCTATTAACTTCCGACAGTCTAGCAAGAGGTTTCTTAACCTGAAAAGGCTAGACATTGGTTATTATGGCAGACAATATGAGAAGTCAACAGTGTAACGAATGATTTTGTAAAAGTTTTTGCTTCAGTTCCTTTTGAATTTTGATTAAAACCAAACCATTGTTCAGAATCAGACATTAAGATAGAAAATAAAACAGCATGCTGATATATAATGAAAATAGTCTAAAATGCACAAAGTGCATGTACCTGAAGAAAGTTTACATTGTCTACAACAAAAAAATTAAATTCCCAGGTTTATTATAAAAGAGAAAGATTGCAGAAATACAACCAGCTTGCATGCCTTTAAAAGCAATGTTCATATAATCCCACATACTTCTCCACGAAGATAACTGAATGAACAGCAACATACTTACTCTGATCTAAAAAAACACAAAACAAAACAACAATCAAAAAGCCATCAACTTTTTTTTTCCCCTCTTATGAAAACTATTCTATGTATGCCCTGTATTGGGTTGATACAGTCAAATGTGAAGTGAATAGATGCTGAAAGCAAGTGCTGCACAGGCAGTCTTTTACCTGACTGGTTCGTTCCCTGGACCCACATCTCTGAAGCCCATCTCTTCCAGTCTGCACCGTCTGTACAACTCATAATGTTGTGCATGAGTCTGCTCTCTTAAATCTTCCATATTTGTGCAAATAAGCATCTCACGAAGCTTTACAAAGTCACAGTGGCTCTCATTTTCTACTATTGGGTTAAAAGAGGAAGATTTTATTATTATACATAATTAGCAAAATTGTCAAAATAATTTTTTTTTAGCATTCATTTATTTTGTTTACTAATTATAATCCCACAAAAAGGTATCTTGTTATTTCCGATACATCTCATAATTCCTTATAATTTCAAATATACACATTGAAGCACTAACTGAGTACTGGTGAACATGTTCCAACACACCCTGATTTCCTGTTTGAGTTGAACAATGATAAATTGCTCTTTTTTTCCCTTCTTTTCTACTGACAGTCATGAAACTTTGAAATTTGGTAGTACTAGAGGCACTGCTACCATATTAACCTTCCCAAATATTACATACACTACCTCACAGTTTGATTCCAATGATTGCATCATTGCTGATGGAACTACCACTTAGTGCACACCTCAAGTATTACTTGCTAAACTCCTTCAACTGTTGATCCAAAATACAATCAATATGGCATCAGCAGATAATATGAGCCCCTTTAAGTATTGGTGAATTTTATACTGCAACAACCACAATCTTGTAAAAATACCTTTGAGAATTCATTTACCTTGTACAGTGCCCCAAGGGTACTGACGAACTCTCACCATTTTGTTTCCAATTTGCACCTTTTCGTCACTTCCTACTACCGCAAATGGCATGTGCCCCTGCAAGAGTCACACCAATACAGTCTTATCTTTCAGCATTCTTAGGTCAGAACTGAAAACCAAACACTTCAGAAATAAACTGGAGAGAAAAAACACCATTCAGGAAAAGACAACAGGCAGTTTCAAACAAAACCCACTTTGAGATCTAGTCAAACTACTACAATAACAAAACCAAGAGTGGTTGACAGACCAGACGAGACCTCATAGCAGCCTTCCAGTATCTGAAGAGGGGCTATAGGGATGCTGGGGAAGGACTCTTCATTAGGGACTGTAGTGATAGGATGAGGGGTAACGGGTTAAACCTTAACCAGGGGAAGTTTAGATTGGATATAAGGAGGAAATTCTTTACTGTGAGGGTTGTGAGGCACTGGAATGGGTGGCCCAAGGATGTTGTGAATGCTCCATCCCTGGCGGTGTTCAAGGCCAGGTTGGACAAAGTCTTGGGTGACATGGCTTAGTGTGAGGTGTCCCTGCCCATGTCAGGGGGTTGGAACTTAAGGTCCTTTCCAACCCTAACTATTCTATGATTCTGTGAGTGCACTGCCCATTTAGACAAACATCAACAAGCTAGAGAAATGGGCAAAGAGGAACCTCATGAGGTTCAATGCCAAGTCATCCACATCAAAGGCGAATAACCCCATGCTCCAGCAAATGCTGTGATATGACTGGAAAGTCACTTTGTTGAAAAAGACATAGGGCTCCCGGTGGACAACTGGACAACAGATTGGACCTGATTCAGTAGGTCTGCCTCAGTAGCAAAGGCAGTAGATTACATCCTGAGCTGCATTAGAAATCGTATCAGCAGTAAACAAAAAGCCACTCCAGAACACACCCCTCTGATTTGCATTCAGCCAGAGTCCACATCCCCAGTAACAGTAATGAGAAAAATCATAGGTTTGAAGCAGAGGTACGGTTACTGATGTGGGCTCAGCCAAATGGCCAGAAATACAAATAGAGGTTGGGTATCTACATGCTAACCCACAACACCTGACCAAATTTAAAAAATAAATAAACCATTACCTAGAAAATAAATCACTAGCAGAGCATGACAGCAAGAAAGGGGTAACAGACCACCACCTTTCTTCACAGCAGAAAGACCTGTTACTGAATGACAGCCTCCACATTCTCATTCCCTGGCAGAAGTGACAGAGGTTGGGACTGCAGAGCCATACACTCCAGCATACCAGCTTCTCCTCCATACTTTCAAACACCCTACATGCAAACATTATGTTCATGTGCATCTACAACCATATGCACATAAACAGCAAATACAGAGTGCTCAAAGCAAAGACATCTAGCTTCACAAGCTTAGTTGAAGCTGGCAGATACTCCTGGGAGGACCTGAAAGGACAATAGTAAGAAGCCAGAAGTATATCTGATTTCTTCAATCCCCATAGAAAATCTGTCCTAATTTCAAATAAAGTACTAAATAAAAGGAAAAGGCATATGTGAGACTTGGTACAATAATGACCAGAGAAAACTGGAGAAATGAAACACCTGAATATCTTTCCTAACAGATGTAAGGTAGGTATTTGTTGAGGAAAAGAGCAAAGCCAATATGCCCATCTATTTTACCAATTAAATATTAATTATACAGAAATTAGAAGCAGTATTTATGAGTTAGAACTTCTTTTCCGTTACTGAGCCAGGAAAGAAAAAGCCTCCTAAAACAAGTGGTGTCAACAGCAGAACAACAGGAAGATTTGGGAGTAGGAGAGAACAAGAAAAGAGAAAAAAAGTAGATGAGCTTTTTAGGAAGAGAGAAAAACAAATGAACTTGTTACATACAAACTTGTAAGCCTCAAGGTAATGGTGAACAAAACAGGCATTAATCAGCATGAGAGAGTGATGCTTTAGTACTAAAATATTGATGTTTTTTGTCATTTACTTACATTCATGATGGCATTCAGTTCAGAAATGGCTTCATCATCAGTTGGAAACTGGTATATCTGGATGCGATTAATAACTAATTCAGACATGATTTTGTTCTTGAAATTCTGTAGTTCGCTTTTAGTAATGCTGTCTGCTTTGCATATAATTGGTATAATGTTCACCTATTAATGATACAAATTATATGAAATGCATAAGAATTCAGTTTTGAGGAGACATCCTTTATAAATTAAATTGTTTGGTGATGAGCTTTTCAAAACTTTCCCCGCAGTCCAAACTTTTCCATCAGTTGTTATCAAAACTTCACAAACCATGAAAAATACATCCACTGGCATCACTCAACAAAGTAACGACAGATTATTTAATATACCTGCTTAAAATTGATTCTGAGAAAAGAATGAGGAAGGAGATCCCATACACTTTAGTGCTCAGAACAGCAACGCCTACTTATTAACTAAATGACATAAAGCTTTTTTATCTCTGCTAATAAAATAGCTTGTTTTAGTTTAAAGGTACATGGTTCAGGTGTTAAATGAAAGTTGACAGTACAAATACAAAAAGAAAAGGAACCTGGCTACCAAAGCCTGCCTACCCTTGAGCTCCTTCCTTGGGGTCCTTTCAGCTACAGTAACATCTTGTTCACCTCACCACTACAGCAGATCATTTCTGAAGTATCTGCTACAAGCAGATGAATGGCAATGACTGAAGCATCTTGCTTACCAGTCTTTGCATTAGTTATTCAGAACTCGCAATTCAGTTCTACTAAGGTAAACCAACCTATTTCCTAAACCAATTATGACAGTAACTTAGTAGATGCCGAATTCTTCTTAAAAATACTATCACCACTCCCAAAATACGCATTTTTCAGAACTAGATAGAAAGATTTAATGCCGGTGTCCAAATATTCGGGGAGAAAATACAAATAATTCTTCCACATTTCTCAAGATGAGAATTTTACATACTTCCTTGATCAGAGATGCAAAAAGGAGGAGGAGGGGAGGGGGAGAAGGAAAATTAAAATAAAATAAAATAAAATAAAATAAAATAAAATAAAATAAAATAAAATAAAATAAAATAAAATAAAATAAAATAAAATAGAAATCCACTTTTTTTTTTTTAATATTCTGTCTGAATGGAAATGCCTGGGCATGGAATCTCAGAATGGATTCAAAATTGATGTTTTTGAAATAAGTCTTGTGTCTTAACCAAAACATCCAGATGAGAAAAAAACAAAAAGGCATTCTAACTCCAAAGTATGACTGCTAAGATTATTTGATGATAGTTACACACAAGTAGCATACGCAACCTAAGCGCATATGGGGCAATGTCTAAACACAAGTAAAATGATAGATTTTTTTCTTTTAATAACAGGTGATTTTGGATTGTATAAACAATCTATTGCAGCTTGGAGTAATTCATGTCTTCAATCAGATTAGCTCAGGGACATCTATTTAGGTTTTCTATGCTATAGGTTTGAAAATGGAATGCAGTCTTCCAAATTAAATTAACCTTTATGCTGATTTTCAACAGATAAGTCTTTCTAGCACTCCTTAATTGGGAAAGAATTTCTTAGACAATGAATAGCAGAGAAAGACTACTGAAGAGTCCAGTAACAAAAGAAAAGCAGAATCACCATAAACTGATTACAGCTAGCAATGCTGGTGCTAATCACAACCTTTGCATTAAAATTTAAAAGCTATACTGGCTTTAGATAAGCAACAAAAAAGTTACCTTTGTTTAATCTGTTAAACAGAATTAATTTCTGCTTGCAGCATCTAAGGTTTACTTGAAAAGTAGTATCCTAGTGCTTTCATCCACCAATAACATTAACAGGGAGCACACGCTGGAACTAACAAGAGACATAAACTGTATTTATTTGTGTCACATATAGACCTGCCTCAAGTCCCAGTGCTCCCTCCTATGCCTACTATTGACTCAGAAACCGGACTCCCTACCAGCCCCTTCCTCAGCTACAACCAACTTTAAATAGCTACAAAATTGAATTTTGCTACAAAGTTATAGAACATTAATGCAGAATCACTTTAAAGTGTCGTGTCCCCCCCCCCCAAATGTCTACATTTAAATAAAAAATACAGTCTTATCCTTCCCCTTGCCTGTAGCTGCTCATTGCCAGGTAGAACTAAAATGTGACACTGTCCAAGGAGACAGATTACTTTTCAGCTTGATCAGTTCCCTAACGAAGCAAAAATCTTTAGCTTTCAATTTCAATCAGTTCCCTCATCCAGGGAATTGGCTGCCCAAAAATCTTAAGCATGCACAATGGGAAGAGGCAGCTGAGACTGCCTCACTGAATAGCAATGTAGATTGAGCATATAAAATCACCAGGATAATTTTTATCTATGTGCATTACGTCTCTGTTTGCTAGCACCAAAGTCAGTGCTCTCATCATCCTTCTGCCAGAAATGTAGTCTTGATTTCCCCCAGTCAGAAAACATGCTATTATTCTAAATTAAGATTTTCGCGTAACACTTTATATTAATGTCAAAAAAATCTGTTGCCTCTTTTTGCGATAGATAAGGAAAAAAAATACATGTACTTGAAATTATTATTGGTTGCTATCTTGCAGGATGATTTACATGTATCTCTGAATCAATACAAAAATTCTGAATTATTCTTTCTGAAGAAAAAAAAAACAACTAATTTAAACCTCACAAGGTACATCCATCATTCCCTGCCTTAACAGTATATATAATTCCTCAATAATTACTTAAAAACGCAGATGTGTCAGTTGAAAAATCACTAGTTCCCAGCAAGAAAACATACAGAGGATTCCCTTAATCTGTGAATGAAACCTGGCTGACCTGCAGTGATTCAATCCTAAGCAAAACTACAGGACTTTCCAATGTGTAAAAGCTCGAGGACAAATTCTTAGCTAATCATCCAATTTATAAACAATAGAGAAAAAGTATTTGCCCAAAGATAGGTCTGTGTTTTTCCTCCCAGGATTACTGAGTATAGGATGACCCTATCCTATTCCAAGAATCCTCTTTACCTCTGAGCTGTTTAATCCAGTCTTGTTTTGTACCAAGCAGACCATAACAAAGCTAACAGTGTACACTGCGATGGATTTATGAAGAAACTAAAGACAACTTTGACAGACTTATACACTTGATGTATGCATGTTCCCGTACCACCTTCTCTTTATAGAATCCTGTACTCAGCAAATGTGACCACGGACTTACACATCCTGGAAAATCCTGAGTTCTGAATTGCCTCTAGGGGAATACAGTAGTAAAAGCACCACAAACATGTTTCACAATGGGACAGAAACCAAACTACAGTTAAAGTATATACTTTTTCATCTGTGTCTATTTCTATTCTTGAGTAAGATCAGAAAGCAGAATCCACTGCAAAGGGATAAAACAAGAGTTACACGCTGTTCATGTTCTATGTTCTCTCTGAACCAAAGCAGAAACACAAATATTTAGAGTCATAGAACCATAGAGACATAGAATAGTTAGGGTTGGAAAGGACCACAAGATCATCTCGTTCCAACCCCCACTCCCCGCCCCCCGCCATGGGCAGGGACACCTCACACTAAACCATGTCACCCAAGGCTCTGTCCAACCTGGCCTTGAACACTGCCAGGGGTGGAGCATTCACAACCTCCCTAGGCAACCCATTCCAGTGCCTCACCACCCTCACAGTAAAGAATTTCTTCCTTATATCCAGTCTAAACTTACCCTGTTCAAGTTTTAACCCATTACCCCTTGTCCTATCACTACAGTCCCTAATGAAGAGTCCTTATAGGCCCCTTTCAGATACTGGAAGGCTGCTATGAGGTCTCCATGCAGCCTTCTCTTCTCCAGGCTGAACAGCCCCAACTTCCTCAGCCTGTCTTCATACAGGAGGTGCTCCAGTCCCCTGATCATCCTCGTGGCCCTTCTCTGGACTTGTTCCAACAGTTCCATGTCCTTTTTATGTTGAGGACACCAGAACTGCACACAATACTCCAAGTGAGGTCTCACAAGAGCAGAGTAGAGGGGCAGGATCACCTCCTGCCTGCTGGTCACGCTCCTTTTGATGCAGCCCAGGATACAGTTGGCTTTCTGGGCTGCGAGCGTACACTGAAGCAGGCTCATTTTCATTTTCTCATCGACCAACACCCCCAAGTCCTTCTTGGCAGGGCTGCTCTGAATCTCTTCTCTGCCCAACCTGTAGCTGTGCCTGGGATTGCTCAGACCCAGCTGTAGGACCTTGCACTTGGCATGGTTAAACTTCATGAGGTTGGCATCAGCCCACCTCACAAGCATGTCAAGGTCCCTCTGGATGGCATTCCTTCCCTCCAGCCTATCAACCGAACCACACAGCTTGGTGTCATTGGCAAACTTGCTGAGGGCGCACTCAATCCCACTGTCCATGTCAGCGACAAAGATGTTGAACAAGACCGGTCCCAACACCGATCCCTGAGGGACACCACTCATTACTGGTATCCAGCCGGACACTGAGCCGTTGACCACAACTCTTTGTGTGTGGCCATCCAGCCAGTTCTTTATCCACCGAGTGGTCCATCCATCAAATTGATGTCTCTCCAATTTAGAGACAGGGATGTTGTGTGGGACAGTGTCAAACGCTTTACACAAGTCCAGGTAGATGACATCAACTGCTCTACCCCTGTCCATCAGTTCTGTAGCCCCATCATAGAAGGCCACCAAATTGGTCAGGCAGGATTTCCCCTTAGTGAAGCCATGCTGGCTGTCACCAAGCACCTTGTTAATTTTCATGTGCCTTAGCATGCCATCCAGGAGAATCTGCTCCAAGATTTTGCCAGGCACAGAGGTGAGACTGACTGGTCTGTAATTCCCTGGCTCATCCATTTTCCCCTTCTTGAAAATGGGGGTTATATTTCCCTTTTCCAGTCATCGGGAACTTCACCTGACTGCCATGATTTCTCAAATATGACGGCCAGCGGCTTTGCAACTTCATTCACCAGCTCCTTCAGGACCCGTGGATGGATTTCATCAGGACCCATGGACTTGTGCACATTCAGGTTCTTAAGATGGTCTCAAACCAGATCCTCTCCTACAGTGGGCCTAAGGTCTTCATTCTCACAATCCCTGCATCTGCCTTCCAAGACTTAGGTGGTGTGGTCAGAGCATTTGACAGTGAAGACCGAGGCAAAGAAGTCATTAAGAATCTCAGCCCTCTCCAAATCCTGTGTAGCCAGTTCTCCTGATAGCTTTTGAGGAGGGCCCATGTTGCCCCTAGGCTGTCTTTTATTTGCAATGTACCTATAGATTCTCTTCCTGTTATCTTTAACATCCCTAGCCAAGTTTAATTCTAACTGGGCCTTAGGTTTCCTAACCTGGTCCCTAGCTTCCCAGACAACATCCCTGTATTCTTCCCAGACTGCCTGTCCTTGCTTCCACATTTTTCAAGCCTATTTTTTCCCTCTAAGTTGCCTCAGGAGCTCCTTATCCATCCAAGGAGGTCTCCTGGCCCTCCTGCTGCACTTCCTTCTAGTTGGGATAACACTCCTGAGCTTGTAGTAGGTGATCCTTGAATATCAACCCACAGTCTTGGGCCCCCCTGTCCTCTAGGGCTATATCCCATGGAATCTTACTAAGCAGGTTCCTGAAGAGGCCAAAGTCTGCTCTCTTAAAGTCCAAGGCAGTGAGCTTGCTGCACGCTCTTCTCACTGTCCTGAGGATCTCAAATTCAACCATCTCGTGATCACTGCATCCAAGGCTGCCCTGGAGCATCACATTTCCAATGAGCCCTTCCCTGTTGGCGAGCACGAGGTCAAGCATGGCACCTCTCCTTGTCAGCTCCTCTATTACTTGCAGAAGGAAGTTGTCTTCCACATAATTGAGGAACCTCCTGGATTGCTTGTGCCAGGCAGTAACATCGCTCCAACAGATGTCAGGGTGGTTGAAGTCACCCATGAGCACAAGGGCCTGTGAGCGTGAGGTTTTTCCTATCTGTCTATAGAGTGCTTCATCCACAGATTCCTCTTGATCAGGCCATCTGTAACAGATCCCCACAATAATGTCTCCCATCGCTGTTTAACCCTGACCCACAAACTCTCTGTGGACTGCTCACCTGTCTCCAGACCGAGTTCCATACTCTCCAGCCTATCCCTAACATAAAGGGCAACTCCCCCTCCCCACCTGCCAGGCGTGTCTTTTCTAAAGAGCCTGTAATCTTCCATTCCAACACTCCAGTCACAGGAGCCATCCCACCGTGTTTCTGTGATGCCTATTATATCATACCCCCATAGACGTGCACACATCTCTAATTCCTCTTGTTTGTTCCCATTGCTAGGGGCATTTGTAGAGAGGCATCTGAGCTGAGCTCCAAATGAAGCCGGCTCATTGGCTGGAGCGGCTGGAATATATCTACATTGCTCGAGCATTTATTATAGGTACTGGCAACTGACTGGGTGTGTTGGGATGGAATGATGCCCCCTCCCCCAACACATCTAGTTTAAAGCTTCCTTGACCAGTCTGGCAAGCCTCCTACCAAAGTAGGAGAGTAGGTGGCTAGAAGCTAAAATTCCCCAAAGCAGAATTATGCTCATTTTATCCTGATGGGAAAATATTTCACAGGATGCTGGGACTCATGGATCTATTTCCTTTTTCTTTTGGAAGAAACACTGCTTTAAAGGTAGTTCAGTTTATGAGAGCACAACCTAGACGCCAAGTATTTCTGTGGTTTAACACAACCTCCAACTTCAAAACTCTGAGCAGAACAATATGTTCCATGAGACTGTCCCATATTCTAGTACCAAGGCTCTTTAGCTCTCAGTGCATATTACAGGATATTTTCACAAACATTTTTATCTGGCATAAGGAAAGCAGTGACCCTGTCTCTCCTACCTTTGTCCCACCATACTTCTCCCCCCACTTGCTCTGTGTTATTGAGAAAGTTCAAAAGGCAAAATGCATTCACAAACAAAATTACAAAATCCCAAATGTGCTCATCAACCACAAAAATAGAACAGACAGCTGATCTGATCCTTGTTATTTTGAAGAAACATCTCACGAACAAGCAAACGCAGGAAGAAGTGTACCTTTAAGAGAGACAGTAATAAAACACAAGGAAAGGGCTAGAGGAACAACAACTGCATTTAAGTGATCAAATCTCTCAAAATTTCAACAAATTAAACCCAAATTACAAAAGGTTTCTTAAAATGGGCTAAATATTTAGCTTCATCCAGCCCATTACAGGAAAAAAGAATTTAGAAAGTGCAAGTAATCACATCAGAAACTGCTATTTTAAAGCTTTCAAACCAAATCAAGATGTGACATTTAAAACACTAATGCAGCCTATCTTAGAAAAAGTCATGCTGGCAGGTTGCTCTGCTCATGGCATTTGCCTCTGTGGTTATCTGCAACAAAGATCTTCACAGTACTGCAAAGCTTTTTATATGCCAGCTTTCCAGCAGTCCCGAAACTCAATAGTGAACTAGAAACAAGCTTAACTAGAAATATTACAGTGCTGATGGAGAGTACCCTGCCCAATCACAATAAGACACATGTTAACAGTTTGTTAAAAGTAAAGTTGGCATGGGTTTATTCAGTTTTTACACCTCGTAGTGCTTCTTTTTTCAGCATCCTGCCAGATGTCTCTCTCCTTTTTCTTTGTAAATAAGCAGGTGATGAGCTGCAAGCTACTTGCAGAGCTTAAGGTATACCTTAAGTTCAGAATACTAGTACTAAAAACATTCCAAAACCAAACACACAGATATCGAACTGAAAGGTAGTAGAGGGCCTAAAAGCTGCAAGATGCTTCAGAAAGTAAGACAAATTCCTGGAACTCTGTTTCAAAGTCTTACCTTGCTGTCTAGGCTTCTCATGGTTAATAAATCTAAGGGTTTCAGGGAATGGCCTGTAGGTGAAATGAAATAGAGGCAAACATGGATGCGAGAATCATGGTAGTTAAATAAAGAACGTTTAATTTTCAGTTCTTCCTGGAGATAGGCTTCAAATTCTGCATCTATATAATCCACTATTGGCTGATAGCTGTAAGAAATAAAATTTAACAACCAGTGATTTGCTAGTCCTGAACAGAGCCAAATTAAGAAAGGAATTCCTCTTGTACCATTTTGTGGATTTTTGCTTTACCTATCAAAAGGCTGCTCAGGTATCTACAGCAGAAAGTTAAATGTACAGAGTGATTTGATTTCTGAAATGCTACTCAAAAAAGAATGGTGCACCTAATACAGATAAAATGTTTCCTAGTTCCTATTAGTGAACAAAAGCTACATAAATTTAGTTATGATTATAGCCAATTTTCCCAAGTGATGTTTTATAAATTTTTGCAATCAACCTGTGCAACTGCAGACTCTTAGATACAAGGAAGATACAAAAAACTCTTTGATACAGTACAAGAAAAGAAAGAATATGCGATTACCAGCACCAAGTAATAGGACCTCCTTTATCTTCTGAAGTACCGTACAAGAGAGCTCTTAAACAACAGACAAAAATTAAAAAGGAGGAATGCAAGAGAACAATGTAAATCTGATTTGCAATAAGTACAGTTTAAGCATACTTTACTCTATTTAAAAAGAGATTATAATCTGCTTTCAAAAAGAAAGTGTTGCTAGATGTAAAGGCAGTGTGCCCTTACATTTCTGCTACTACACAAAGTTTAGAAACCAGATCAAACGCTATTAAAATTCCGAAGTAGTTGTTACACACAAAATTAAGGGAGGACTGAAAGGCAGCTCCTACACCACACAGCAAACCCTCTAATACCCATTCTAATACTTGCATCGCATTCATGCAAGTCACAAGCAGTAACTATTTTCCAGTCATATCATAAGCCACTGCTCTCATGACAATGTTAATGTGACTCTCTAACCTTCATTTATAACTACTACCATTTAGGCACCCATATATCACAAAGAATTGCTAAAATGTTTTACAATTAAGATAAAAGAAACAAAGTCTGCTGAGAGACAATCTAGTATTTTAAAATCTTCAATTCATAAAAGCAGACTCAAAAGAAGTTCTGAAAGACACTAGTGTGGTAGCTCCACATCTTCTGATCAAACTGCTCGACATGAAAAACAAAGGCCTTCAGAAATCCATTCGATGTTCATTCCAATTTATGGTCTTCAATATGTTCCAATCAAATGCTTAAACCCCCTATATATCTAATTTATATAATCTACAGTAACCTGTTTTCTTGTTTAAAAAGTCTCTCACTGACCTTCTCCCTGCTTTCCTCCACTCTAAAACAAAGTCACTATTGCATGTATTATTGACATACATTTATAAAAGGTCATATCATAAAGAAAGGGGCAGAGTTCATCTGCTCTCTCAAATAATTTCCTAGATGAGAGAAAAACATGCTTACTTTGGTACATAAACAGTTAACCAAATATTTGGAGTATATGCAAGACAAGTATTTATTACAAAGTCCAAAGAAAAATCAATTGCAATTGAAGACCAAAACTTCTGCATATCACAGCAATAAGAGGGCACTTACCTATCTTCTTTGTTTATTTGGTCACCAAATCCCACCGTATTTACAATGGTCAGCTTCAAAAGAATATTACTTTCCTGAAGTTCACAAGTCTGGGCTCTAAGTTCTACTTTTGGCAGAAAATGAGTTGACACAGGGTCATCAAAACTGGTGTTAAATAAGCTGTTTATCAGGGTTGATTTCCCACTTCCAGTTTCCCCTACAGTTAAATAAAAGGGTTAGGGAAGACATTTTGCACATTAAATAAATACCTTCTAAGCACAGAAAGTGTTATCACAGGAACTCAACAAATTTACACAAAAAATTGCCAACTGATTCCACTGAGCAAAATGATTGCCTGCATTCTTTCTTCATAATGATCACTAAGTATCTTCTACTTAATTTTTTCATCCTACAGATAAAAGAGTTACCCGCTAATAAGCAATAAACAGAACAGTCTCTTGACACTTGTCTTTCTTTAAAAGTGTGAACTACTTTCCTACAGATTTTAAAAGCTAAGTAACTAGCTGCGAAACCACGGGGTTCAACACAGGGGTTTTATGAATAAGGATGAAATACTAGAGCAAATATTTGATAAATATAGAAATACTTCAGTAAGATCACCTTGGAATTTCAGGAGGTTTTGATTTGAAGCTCTTTGTTACAGTAAAAGTAGTGTAATTTACTCAAAAGAATCCAAGAAGCTGCCCATAAATCAATAAATACATTTTGCATCATATTTGGTCTTCATATTGTTTATGAAAATGTTAACTAGAAAAAGGATGGATACAAATAAGCAAAGCTGGGGGAAAATGCGGAATTATAGTTCATGCTTAACATTAAAGAAAGAGTTTAGCATTGCAACTGGATTTAAATTTCAGTCACTTCCTAAGGATGGGTATGCTACTAAAGCCTTAAAACACCCAGATAGTACTTACCAACACAAAGGATGTTGAAGAAGAAGCCCCGACTGATGGATTTTTTAACCAGTTGATCTGGTAAAGTACTAAAACCAACATGACCAGACAAGGATAAAGCTCGATAGTCATCATCCTGCTACAGAAAAATCATATAAAAATGTTAGTGAAGTTAATTGCAAAGCAATTAGTAATGGCCTACGTTTTTCCTTCTGGAATTTTCCAAGGGTATCACAAGTCTTTCCCTCAGTGCCAGCACCTAATGCAGCTTCACTCTGCTACATACAGACTAACAAATATGCAGAGAAATTAAGTCCACAAACTGACCACATGAAGCTTGCATCCCAAAGAAATAACACATCATCCAGCTGAAAAACAAGTTACTGCTCTATCGCTAGTTTAGAAATACAGTGATAACTCAAAAAATAAGAAATGCAAATCATGCTGAAAGCAATTAAGTCACCACACTAGCCAGTCTGTTCAAATTAGTATCCGTTGGATGGAGCAGCTAAATTATGCTTGAAGGCAGTACCTCATCCAACTTTTTTCATTGAATAACTCAAAGCTTGTCATCTGAATGCTACAACAGTTGTAATATTCTGGGACTGCTTCCCGTTTCTCACTGCTTTCTCAGAATTCACACTCTTTTCAAAGAAACACACAATACAGATAGCTTGAGGTGGTCCAAACCACATCATTCCTTCCCTCACCCTGTTTTTAAAGGATTGGTAGCATAGGTTTCATGGAACCGCACTGGGATTTCTGCAAATTCATTTAATCAAGTATACTGCTTTATATCGAGTTGTTTTGCCTGTTAAAAAGAATATGCAAAGAAAAACCACTGACTGAGACAAAAGTAACATTTAAAACCTGGGGTGTTAATTTCAGAAACAAACTAAAAAATGTATAGTTATCTTTTAAATTTACAACCTATTTCAGACTAAAACTGCTCAAAGGCCACTCCACAGCAAAAGCTGGGTCTCAGACTACATGCATCTCTCTGCCCAAGCTTCCTGCAGCATGAGACTTGCAGTCCATTCAAGAACTAGCTTGCCACTCAGCTTGGAGCGACTGAGATTTGCCCTCCAAAGCTTGAAGGAAAAAAGTAATCAATGTTCGTGTGCTTAGGCAGGAGGTGAGGATCGTGCCAGTCCCAGGCAGCTACACAGGCCCTCCAAAGGATGCGTGAGCATCAGCCATGATGGCAGATAACAACATGTTAACATGTCCATGGGCGCTCCAAATGTGACTTTTGGAGCCCTGAGTTTTCCACTATCACCAACAGGTGTGGACATTAGTTAACCTGAAAATCTATTTTAATCTTCCAATAACAAACTGCATTACTCTCTTACAATCCATTACTTTCTTAATAACCAACATTATATTTAACCCAGCAAATACCAATGTTGCTCTTGCCTCATAACACAGGAAGTAAGTAGGAAACTAAACAGCTTTTGGAAGCAAGTAGAAAATTACTTTCCAGTTTTGGGTTGTCAGAATCCAAAATGTGGATGCGTGGTGTAGGCATGCATACCATTGACATGTCTTGATGCAGACGTGCGCATGAAAGAAAGACAGGGAGCAGATGGGATCAGTAGAGGGAACAGAAAGGAAACCTTGGCAAAATAACAACAGAAGAGAACAGAATATATAGGAGGATGAGGCAGAAAAAATAAAAAGAGAAGTCCATGAAGATGTAGAATAAGAAAGGAGATAGATTAAAAATCACATGGAATTAATTTGTCAGTCTATTCTATAAAATAAAAAACAAAACACAGAAGTCAAGTACGAAACAAAGCATTTCCCCAAAAAGGTGTGTAGGGAAAAAAGTACTGGCCAAAAGACGAGGCAGTGAAAACTCCTCTGACAATTTCACTCAGAGTTATCAGGTAATTTATTCAGTCTGACAGAAACAGCAGACAACTTTTAGGAATTAGTCCAAACATCAGAAGCCAAGGATTCTTCCTTTATCTCTTTCAAATGACTTCTTCCCTAGAATTCTGGTGCACCAACTATTTTCTAGCCCACTCCAACACACAACACAGCTGAAGTTGCTGCAAACCATAGGCTGACACAAGATTTTCTTCATACATGTGCATATGGAGAGACCTCAGAAATGAACCTTTGGAAAACAAAAGCTGACATTTTTGTCCCATGTTTCTGTCTGAAGAAATCTGAGGCAGGGCAGAATCTTCCTGAATGCCCTGAACTCACCAAGGATGGGCAGAGGAAAAAGTGGTGGGCTCATCAGTAGAGAATGGGGACATACTGTGCAGGCTGCTACTGAAAGACAACTTCTGGACAGTATCATGAGGTATTTAGGAGCAAGCAAACAAGCCGAGACATTTTGTTGGTTTTCCAGTTGTGAAGAGGTGTCTTCACAGACAGCAGCATATTCACTCGTAAATGCCATTAGCACCTCTCTTCATCAACAGGCACTTGAGTACCTTGAAAATCTAGCACAGTTAGTACCTGTTCCTTCATTGCTACCTATGGATTGATATGGCAGCAGGCAGCAGGTGGGGAATTGATACCTGACAGCAGAAAAGAAACCAGGTCTTCACAGCAAGTGCTCTGTGTGCCAGGCAAAGGATAACAACAGTGCTTGTCTGTTCAGCTACTGCTGTGCAGGAGGAGAAAGTGTTCAGCTCTGTGGTCTGCACTAGGTCTCTCTCAACCTGTATGTTTCATGGAAGGAAAATCAGATGAACAGAAATCTGGTGCAGCCCTCTAAGATGACCTTGACACTGAAAAATCCTCACACTGGTATCAGTACTGGTATCATGTCTGCATTCACTTTGGAAGATCAGCACCTGTGAGGACCCAGCAGTGCCTGCTGCAGCTTTAGCCCTGAATTTCCTGAAGAGCAGCAAGTCAGTCGTCTTCACCCCTGGTTGCATCAGCACCTTCTTGTTGATGCTCCTTGTCCAAGTGAGAAAGTCTTGGATGAGACAGTGGCAGCTGCTATTAGAAGCTCTCTTTGACTGCAACTCCCTTCTTTTCAATCAACCAATGACAAGCATTGTATGCAGTTGTGTGGTGGCAGCAGCTGCCAAAACTTACCCAGAAGTCAAGTTTTCAAAAATCAGAAGTACTAAATACTTGCATCTCAGACTTTGTGGAGCCCAATAGCGAGCAGATTTGCAGAAGCAGCTTGCGCTGTTTTCCAGGGGTGATTTTACATTTCTCTTGAAAAACAACTGAAAACAAAATCTTTTCCAGAATACAGTGGGAAACACTTTAATAATTACACGGCATGCGTTAAACTAGGAAATACTATGTGATGTCAGTATATATTTTACATCATTACATTTACATAATTTACATTTATAAACCTAACACAAAATCACCCTCCTCCACTACAGAATTGTGTTATACATCCTGTTTTTACAGTATTCTCTGTAAAGTTTTCCATGCACATGCTTTCCTCTCCTCCCTTACCAGATCTATCTGCTCAGTGGACCCTCAACCCCACTGTCACTCACTTTTGCTGACTACTGCATCTCGCCATACTCTTTACACAAACATTAACCAGCAAAATCATTCTGTATTGTTTCTCATACTCTAGCCTTAAGCTGTGCTTTTTTTTTTCCTTTCTGCATTTTTTCAGCTTCCCATGAGAACCAGTGAAGTACTGGCTCTCATCCTCACTATATATACACAGCACATGCAAAGACAGCTTATATGAAGTTATGCACTGCACTACACTATACTGCAACTGCAAAGGGTTCATATAGGCCTTAAAGAGACCCTGTGTGAACTGGAGCTCCCTGCATGGGAGCCCTGACAGAAGGCAAGCACTGCCCAGCAGCCAAGTGGCAAGCAAGCAGAGGAACAAGTCTCCACTCTCAGCCTAAGGTTGACCAGACAGACAGACCGGTGTGGTCAGGCCCTGTGACGGCTCTAACAATTGCCCTACAAGTAACTGCTTCAGAAGCCCCTCTTCCTTCTCCCCATTCCACGCCGCTTCATCAAGAACCAGAAAGACACTGCCCCAGATGAAAATCCCCCGAGAAAACTTCAAAAAGAGTTAACAGTTGTTTCCCGTTTTTCCAGTTCATGGGGCAGCTTCACACACAGCTCCACTGGCACAACTGGGGTGGAACAGCACAGTGGCACAGATGAGCCAAGAACCACCACAGACAGGTACTTTATCTACCTTCCTGCTACCAGAAAAGGCAAAAGCAAGTAACTACATACGCAGGCAAGGTGCAGTTTTTTTTCCCAAATTCCACACACTCCATGATGTTTCCAGAACCCTTCTGCACTTTGCATTGCTGAGATGTGACACATGGGCAGAAAACTCAAGTCATAAATGAATCGATTTCTTTCATGTTTAGAAAGGGAACTAATGCTCCAGCACTAACGCACAGACAGAATCAATGTCTTCAAAGCACTGAACTGACAGTTCTGCCGTTATACATAAGGAAAGCTATTCCTTCAATAGCCAAGGTTCAACTTAAGACTTGAAACAGGCAATACGCTACGGGAGCCCCAAGAAGGGCGACAGCTTAAGACAAGTTACTTTAACAGCACAGCCGGCATCCCCGGGAGCCCAGCGGCAGGCGGAGGCTGCACTGCGCCAGCTGACCCGTGCCCCGGCTGGTTCAGAGGGCAGGCCGGTGCAAGCGGCACCCGCACTCCTCTGCGCGGTGTAATCACCACTCCCCTTCCCCTGGCGCTGCGGACCCGTCCCCTGCGCCGCTCCGGGTGACGCCCCCCAATAGGCACGGCCGGCGCAGCGGCTGCGGTTATAACGGCCGTCGGAGCAGCCCGCGCTCCGCTCCTGGCTTCTGCACAGCGGACGGCACCTACCGGCAGCGGGCAGGTAGGGGCTCCGGCCATGGCCCCACGAGGTGAGGCACAGAGCAACCGAGGGAGGGACACGCACGTGCCGCTCGACCACCGAGGGCGGAGGCTGCCGGCCCGGTGCGCACCGCCCCGTCGGGCAGAGGCGGGGCCGCAGCGGCCCCACGAGGCGAGGGGCGGGCGGTAGCTGTGCTTCTGCCGTTGGGGCGGGCCCCTGCTCCCTGCCGGAGGGTGGCGCGGCACCACCACGGCCGTGATTGCTAGGGCATGCCGCCCTCAGGAGGAGGGGCCTGGGCGGCAGCGGCTCAACCGCGCCCGCGGCAGCCGCAGAAGCGGCGGCGATACGCGATGGGGCAGCGGCGGTGATGGCGGAGCCGCGGCAGGAGTCGGTGGTGCGATTCCTGGCGGAGCGGGGCGGGCGGGCGCGCAACGCGGAGCTGCTGGAGCATTTCCGGGACTGGCTCACCCCCACCGAGCCCGGCCGCCGCGCCGCCGCCCGCCACCGCTTCAAGGAGCTGGTCAACGCCGTGGCCACCGTGCGACAGGAGCCCGGCAGTGGTGTCAAGTACGTGCATCTCCGCCGACGGTACTGTGCGCCGGAGCCCTCCGCCGCCGCCGCCCTGACCCCCGGAGAGGAGCCGGCGGCGGTGGGGGACAGCGCAGAGCGGCCGATTCTGCCGCCCTCCCCGCAGGCGGGCGCTGAGGAGGCGCCGCCGCCAGGCGAGGATGCTGGCAGCCGCTCTCAGCCCGCAGGGCGGCGGGGCGAAGCTCCCCGGCCGAGCCCGGTGGCGCCTGGAGGCCAAAGGAAGGGTTCGCGGCGGGGGCCGCCGCCTGGGCGCGGCGGAGGAGCAGGCGGCGGCGGCGGCGAGGAGACCGCGGTAGCGGAGGGCCCGGGGCGGCCTCCGCCGGCGGAGGAGCCTGGGGCGGCGGAGGGCCCCCTCGGACCAGCGGCGCAGAGCGGTGGCCGCCGGAGCCTGCGGGAGACGGCGCGGGGCGGTTCTCCCCAGCAGAAACGTGGAGCCCTCCCCGGGGGGGGCCGCAGCCGCGGCGGCGACTCGGACAGCGCCTCGGTGGCCTCGTCATCCGCCGAGGAGGAGGGGAGTACCACCGGTGCCGTGGCCCTGGACCCCCTGGAGCACGCCTGGATGCTGTCGGCCTCGGACGGGCGATGGGAGAGCCTGGAGGGGCTGCTAAGCTGCGAGCCGGCGCTGCTCTGCAAGCGGGACTTCATCACCGGCTTCACGGTTCTGCACTGGGCCGCCAAGCACGGGCGGCAGGAGCTGCTGGCCACGCTGGTCAACTTCGCCCAGCGGCACCAGCTGCCTGTGGATATCAACGCCCGCACCAGCGGCGGGCACACCGCGCTGCACATAGCCGCCATGCACGGGCACGCCGAAGTGGTGAAGCTGCTGGTAGGAGCCTACGACGCCGATGTGGACATCCGCGACTACAGCGGGCGCAAGGCCGCCCAGTACCTGCACCAGGGCACCTCGGGGGATATGCGCAGCCTCGTGGGTGCCCTGGAGGAGGAGGAGGAGGAAGAGGAAGGGGCCACTGGCAATGGGAGCGGACGCTGGCGGCTCTCTAAGGTGTTGCCCTCCAATCTCATGAGCTACCGCCTTTCCCACCACCACCACCATCACAGCGCTGGGGAGGAAGCTGAGGGCACCGAAGGGGCAGCGGTGCCAGGCAAGGGCAAGGAGATGACCAGGAAAGCCTCCGGCAGCGGGCGGATGAAGCCTCGGCTTAACAAGATCCGCTTCAGGACTCAGATCATCCACAACACTCCCTCCTTTCGCGGTGACGCTGAGGAGGAAGAGCACGAGGAGAAATCCCTGAAAGCATCGTTCAAGCTCAGGCCAAAGTCCAATGTCTTTGGATAAGGCCGAGGACCAGGAGGTCTGGGAAGTGGGCACATGGACCAAAAGGTGTAGCACAGAAGGTGAGGCAGGTACCTGGTGGGTGCTAATCCACACCCACACACTTGGCAGGTGGGGTTTGAGTATCTTAACTCCCAGTTCGGTGGGGTCAGTGATCCCAGTGTGTCAGCAGGGGCTCTGGTGGCTTACAGCTCCCGAGAGCAGCTGCTTCGGCTGGGCTGTTGGTGCTGAAATGAGAGGCTGGCTATGGGTGCGTTGGGAAACACTGGGGTGTTTAAAAGCTATGCTCCTTTTTCTCTAAAAGCAGCCTTCAGGGTTGGAAACCTGTGTTAGTGAATCTGCTAGGATTAGCGAGTTGAGTGAGGGAGAGAAAAGTACAAATGCTCTACTCTTATATTATCAACCGGTACTATTAAAATACTTACAAACATCTTGCTATATCAGAAGAACACCTCAGTTATATGCAAATATATTTCAAGTTTCTCTTTGACAGCAATATCACCTTGCACATTGTGGAGTTAGGTACCCTAAATGAGATGGTAGATAATGGTTTCTTGTCAGAATCCAAGCTTCAATCCATCAAAGACTTAAGCTTGTGTTGACTTTATGCATTGAAAATTGCCTCATTTGACATCGTAAATATATTTTTCTAAAAAATAATCCTTTGCACTGCAAACAATGAATAAAGTTAACCACATGCAGAAGTCTATGCTGTCTGAGGTACTACTGAGCTTGCTTACCTTACCGCTGTTAGAATGCTAATACAAGATAATGGAAGCAAAGAATCTTTTTATATATTTGGTATCTTATGTTTTGTCTTAGGCAAAGCAATTTTATTTTAATCACTGTGAATTCTCAAGTGCCAGACCTAGTGCAGTTCCAGTAATTAAGTCTGGTCAGTTCTTGTTAATGTTGTTTGTGTAGCTCACTGCATTTAAAATCAGAAAAATTGCTGAAAATGTGTTGTGTGTGCTACCTGTAAAAGTCATTCTCCTTTAGAAAAGAGCGCAGACACCACTGCATGAAATCTTCATGAAACACTAATACGGTCCTGTAATGTAATAGCTACAGGTCTGGGTTCACTAGTGACTTCTGTGCCAATCCCTTCAACTGACTCTGTGCAGAAATGCAGAAAAAAATTCAAAAGAGAAAGAAGAAAAAGAGGTATGTGAATTCACACATAGGGTGAATGATTAGAACTCTGAAACTATCCCTGTTTATCATCCTGAGTGAAAGCAGTCTAATGACATGTTCTAGGCAAGTGATGGCAATGGTGTTTGGGTTCTTTTAAACCTGTATTTCCTGAGAAGTGATAACCAAGTCTTTGAACTCTTGTTTAACAACCTGGCGAGTCTTAATCTGATTGACAAGCCTATCCGTCTGCTAAAGCTTTCAGAAACCTTGAATCTTGTTTCTCTGCTTTAAAGGTAGCAATATCAGTGAAATCTAGGAGGCAGATTTGTATCCAGATTCAGCTTTCCTTAGGAATGAGGTATTGAGCTGACCCTGGATCCTAAATGCTGCTCACAGTAGCAGCTCATAGGTGCTTAGCTATTAAGGTACTGCCAGTTTCAATGCAACATTTGTCAAAGCATGTTTCAGGTTGGCTTCCTCAGAATGCCTGTGCATGTCTGACTAGTAACTAACCAAAAGTAGATAGTCTTTTACGTGTTAAAATCCAGATCTAAGACACTGATTAAGTGCATGTCACAAGCTCTAAAACACCTCACAGGGAAACTGCTGCTGAGTGTTGAGCACTTTGAAGGTAACAGCTGTCTAGCTGTTGCTGGTGGCTTATATTTCTTGTAGCAGCAGGGGAAGGAAGTGATAGCGATTCATTGGTTTCAGACTTCCCATGCAGATAAATTACCAATTCCTGTTCTTTATGTCAAAACCTAATGAATGGCAGTATTTGCATAGGCTTGCAAGCGACACTTCGCTATTTCTGGGAAAAGTTATGTGAGGAAAAAAAAAAGAATCTCTGCATAGCATTAACTTTTGTGCAGAAAGACTAGGAATTATACAGAGGTTCACCTTTAGTTTACAGTTTATAAACTATATTATTATAGATTTCATGTGCCTTCATTTTGGATTGGTTGCCACAAATACGATGGGTAAAATCACTCTTGCAAAGCACTTTGTCTTTACATCTGTAGGACAGGACCAGAAATGTTCCCTCAGCCCTTCCCAATGAACCTGTAAACTTATACAATATGGGGTGTCTGAAAGGGGATTAATAATCATATGGATTACACCATAGAGCTAATTCTTTTGTAACAAACAAGAGAATTAAATGCCTAAGTCTTAAACTTCCTTCACTCTGGAAGATAAATAAAACTGCTATTTATTAGACTTGTGTAGAAATGAAGTTTCCTGACTGGACACTTGCAACATGAGCTCTCTTCAGCATGGGCACTTCTGAATTGAGCACATATTCCATACAGCTGCCGTTGTCCAAATCTCATTAAGCTAACTTTCTGCTTTGAGAGTTTATAGTTCTTTCATATGAGCTGTTGAGTGAAGTGTTAATCTCATCACGTGCAAATAGCAAAGAATTGCACAAAAATATTGAGTCTTAGGTAGCTGTTGGGGTCTGGGGAAATAATTTGAGGGTTTCAATGCTTTGGGATTTGGAATATAGAACACTTTGGATTTTAAAAGGCTAACTGGAACATAGTTTTATCTTGCATAACACAGTGGCACTTCAGTAGTTACTAGGGGAACTTGAAAAATAGTAAGAAGATGCCTCATTTATAACTCAATATTTGAAGTATCGAAGTGAAACTGTTGGTCTACTAATACTGTTGAGTTGTCAGTTCACGAAATTTCACCATAATGGTCCAGAGGTCTTTGCGGCGGTGGGGGGGTGATGTGAACAGAGCAAACATCTCTTTTGGTGTTTGTGATATGTTGACAAATGGCTAGAAAACCACTAGAGTCTGTCTGTGCTACAGGACTGAAGCACTTTGGCTTCACATTATGACTTGTTACATTCCACATGGTTACTTTTTATAACATGAGCTAAAACTCAAAGGTTTTTTGGACATAGGAAAGGCTTGATGCCCTGTGTTTCAGAATATTTACAGTCCAAAGGTACGTTTGAGTCAAATATTTTGGATACATTGCCTAGAAAGATGTGAATTTGAAATAAAGTTGTGTGGTACAGAAAACTGGAGCACTTAGTGTTGTCTTTTTAATGGTATGCCTGAAGTTACTGAATGTGTTAATTCACTTTTTATGATGGTGTGTAAGGCAGCAAGACTGTAATGTAAACATCTAATATCTTTTATTGTATCTTATGTTTAAAATATTTTAGAGGCCTGAAAGCCTGCCAGTTTTTATTAATACAACTTTTTATGGGTTTCTTCCTGAATGGATATGTGTTAACAAGCTGTAAGCTTTAGTTTTACTGAAATAAAAAGAGCCCATTAATTGTTTATGCTTGAATTGACTTCTGTATGCTACATGCTTAGGTGCTACTTGCATATTGGCTGTTAGAATTATGTACCATTTTGTGGTTAGTTTTTTTTTTGTCATGAAGGTGTCTGATATCATCTAACACTCAAAGAGTAAGACACGGAAAAAATACAGTTAAGTTGTTTGCAAGACAGTAACATTTTTCTTTGACAGTTACTCTCTAATAGCTCATGTCAAAGTAAATGAAGACAACAACTTTTTTCTTCTAGAGAAGTATGTCTAAATAAGGGCCTGTGAGAGTGGCATTGCTTAACTTAAAATAGTGTCCTGACCTTATGCCTATGCAGCTAAATATCTCTGACTCTGGGAAGACTAATACTAGTTTTGATCACTGTGTAAAGGTCAATACCTAATTAAAAAAGGTTTAGGATTCAGGCTTTTTGCAATGTGTCTTAACTACAGCTGGCAGCTTCTCTAAAGGGAAGTTTCATTTCATTACCAAGCTAGACTGTGGGATTTTGGTATATCTAAAAATTCTCTGAAGCTGTTGACTTACCAAAATATGTGTTAAAACTAGTAAACCTCATGGTGCCAGTAAGTCCTCTGAGAGACATCCAGATTTGTGCTTAGACTGAAAAAAAGGCTCAGCTGTTACCATGCTGGTGGATCAGGATGCACACAGTTCCAAACTAAACAACCCCAAATCAGAAGTTTGGGGACACGACTGAAAAGGAGAAGGGAAGAGGAAGCATTCTTGGAAGCTTAGGGGAGAGTGGGAGCCTGTGGCAAGCAGCTGAGGTTATGGGTGAGGTGGAGGACTCAGTAGGAGAGCAGCCTATGTAATCACTTGACTAATTGTTTAGAAAATTGTATCTGAAATATATCCCTCCTCCTACAGACTAACAGTTGAGTGAGATGTCTTGCAAAGAGCTCTAACATAAATTAATGTCTGACGCTAGGTACTGTAGCTGTTCTCCTACCAACATTTCGTAGTGTAGCTAGTACTGTTTGCAAAAGCACAAACAGCCCTACAGCTGTTGTAGCAGTGTCCTGATACATCAGGAAGGCCCCACTTAACTTTAGGCTTCTCACTTGGAGAGAAGCTCTTCTTCATTGCATTACTAAATTATTTTTTCCATTGACTAGAAAGGAGGGGCAAGGGCATACAGCCCTGACTTCATGTGCTTTGAGTTATATGGAACACATATGAACCTGAAGGCAATAGATTAAACTTCAGAGAGTTCAGTGAGAAAGAAGTAGTTTAATCATGCGTTCTGGTTCCCTGTTGGCATTGAATTTAAAAACAAAACAAAATAACAGAGGTACATATTGTCATTTTTTCCCATGTCCTCAACTGCGTGCGGAGAGAAGGAATAAGTCTGAATTTGCTGTTAGGATTTGGGAGAGCTCTTCAGTTCGTGTTAAGCTGTGAACTGTTTGATAGAAAAAAGTGAAACACAGGATTTCAAATTACCAGGGGTTTTTATAATGAAACATCATTTTTTGCAGCTGTTCCAGAATTTATCTTGTATCATATTTCAGTTTAATTAATACTGATGTGTCCTGATATACACATATTACTGGAAAAGCTGAGCCAAGCTACCACGTTTTGTTCATTTGTTTTTAACAGAACTGTTACAGGGGAGGTATTTTGTCTTCTGTCATAAAACCTGAAGAACAGTTACTCTGAGATTTTTACAAGGAGTCAAGCTGCTAGTGGCATGTGGAAGAATTACTTTAAAGGCAGGTAGTACTCGGGTCAAGTGCAAAAGCATTGTGTTATTTCACCTAGATTAGTCATGCCAAATGAACCACTGTGGCTTATGTGCACTTACCCTTCTGTATAGACAGCCATAAACTGCCTTCTCCCCTAGATTTCTGGGAAGCATGAGAAGAATTTAGCAAGTCATACTAATCTGTTTGAATGTGTCCTTATTTGATTAAAAGGCATTTTGAAAACCTGTGGTAGGACTGTCAAGAGGTGCCAATGGAGGTCAAAAGATATCTGTGTCCATGCGTGCCTTTGCACTGATTTCAGGTAAATCACTGAAGCTTACTGCTGTAAATCTAAAGCAGCCAGCCTACAGAATGTATCCTTGCATCTGCGCTTGTACACACAGAGAGACTTTGGAAACTTAAATGCTTCTAACCACCAGAATAAATCAGTTGCTTGGGCTGTACCCAGAACTAGCCCTAGCTTTAGTTGAAACACTGAGAAATTCATCAGTATTTTAACCCTGAAGGAAGATGCCTTTCACTTCTTCTAGCTGGCTGTTGAGCTCTACCAGTTATTTCACTTTGCAGTCCCTTAGAGTGCCTGAGAAACTGGTAGTAGAGTGGGTATAAATAAGAGATACCTCTTTTGAAGCTGTTTGGGATGATTGTTCTTTGGGTGGGGTGGTTGGTTTTTCTGGTGGTGTGGTTTGTTTTGTTTTGTTGGTTTTTTTTTTTTTGTTATGGGATGTTAAGATTAAGATAAAGGATATCTGCAGTATTTGTTGGGGCACAGAAATCCCTTGTAACAGTTCATGCTAAGTAGGTGCTCTGCGTTTTACTGCTTTTAATACAGAAAGACAGAATTAACTGTGCAGGCTATAGAGATGTCCTCTTGTCACTGGACATAACGTTGCAGGACATAAAGCCTCAAAGTACTGTAAAAAGTGTTTGTAACTCTTGAACATATAAGGACATTTATTTGCTATTTCTTTTTGGTGTTACTTGTCACATAGCATCTCGCTATATGTATATCTCCAGGAAGTAACTCTGTGACAATTTGGAAGAGTCTAATTAAAGGGTGCAGCTGGGTCCTTCTGGTTCAACTGCCTCCTGCAGCAGGGCCCTTAGCTACGGACAATGCACTTGTCCTCTGCCTCTTGAAACTTCCCTTTCTGTGGCAGATGGGTTGGGTGGAATGGACTGCGGGTGTGGTACCTCCCATCCCATGTAGCCTGCAGCTGCACACTATGGGCTGTAGCACTGGTAAATCTGAAGCCCTTTGAAGCTGATGGCACTTTCAAATTTCCCTTGATAGGGATAGAAGGAGAGATGCTACATCGTTTCATCCACTTGTAACATTCATACAGGTATTACACTTTCATGTGTGAATAAATGGCATGAAATGAAATATGGATGAAACTGGAGTGTTGATCAGACTTTCACACTTAAGTAGTGCCAAGCAGGTCATAAACAAGATATGGCTAATTAGAGTATGTTGATGATCTTTAGCCACTGGGAGACATCAGTTGGATCAACACTGAACAGCTGCTACAGGGAACTACTGCAGAGGGGTTGCAGCAAAATTATCATATCTGTTCTTAGGATATATAATTTCTTAAGGATGATTTTTCATTGTGTAGGAGTTGCAAAATGAGTTAACTGCATTGTGGGTAATCATTTGCAGTACAGTATCCCAAAAAGTTTATTTTGAAGGGCTGTATATAGCAGGTCACTGACAGCTGTCAGGGTAATAGGAATTATTAGGCTTTTGGGTTTTAACCTGAAATTATTTCATCTTCTAAAGTTTGCTTCTAGCTCCTGCAGCAGTCTCAGCTTTCCTTTAGCAAAATTTTGGTTTCTGGGACAACTAAAGCCATCCTAAGAAGAAAGTCCAGCTGAAAACACTAATGCTCTTGTCCACAAAGATCCAGAGTCTTCCATATTTTAAAACAAAACCATTCCTGAGATTCATTATAAAAAATGAAAACCAGCAAAACCTAGGTAAGTTGTGTTTGATCTGGAAGATGTGCCCCTTCAGTAACAGCATCACTCTGCAGTGCCCCCATCCATAAAGTGCCGGGCAGTTCTTGAACTTGTGCATGAAAGAGAAATGTGGTAGTAGCCTTTCTCCAGTGCTTACATTTGTGGGACTTAAACATGATGAGAACCCAAACCTTTTTCCTGATTTGGAGCAAATTCTTCTGAAGTAGTGTTTGCAAACAGGCAGGTACAGATAAACAAGGACTTCTGTTGGATGCATGGAGGGACTGTGCTCTTTTTCTCTCTGAAACACCGGTTGTACAGCATAGCAGTCATTATTTTTTACACTGTAGCAAAGTTCAAGATTTAACTTTTCAGAACAGGTGAAAGCTCAGAGAATTCTAAATTGAAATGGATTTTCTTCTAGACTGGAGCACCCTGGCTGAAAGCAAAGCAACCAGTTTTCCACTATGTAACAAAGACATGCTGTGCAAATGTTTGGATCCTTGTGCTTGGCAAAGTGCAGGAGTGTGGTATTGTGCATCTTTATTCATCCCTTCTGCACCTACCCTCTTGTTTCCTGGCTACTTCCCTGCCCCCTTTTTTCTTCTATTTTTTAGTAGATTGAATTGCACAAACATTGGTTAATAGATCTGTAAAACTCAGAAAAGGGAGATGCTTCAAATAAAGAAATCTCTTTGTTAAGAATTAAATGGAAAAACTAAACATAAGCTTTCCTTTTCTGCTTTAAACTTCAAGAGTAGGAAGAACAAAAGTTGTTGATGATAAAGGTCTCCAAATATAGCATTCTAATTATAACATAGACAAGAAACCTTAAAGTTGGTGGGAAAATGTAGAAAAAGACAATAGTTTCTACTTCATAATTTCAGTATTGTGTACCTTAAAGACAGCCCTGTGACTAACAGACCACTTTGTATAAGAAACATGAAGCATAGTTCACAGGGTTTCCATTGATTATTCCATTAGCCATGTCAAAACTAGTACCTTTCACAGTAGATCCTAAATGGAGTTCTGGCTAACCTGAATGCTACCTCATCGTCCTTCGCCAATGAGTCCCTTTTGATGCCCATGCAGATGAATCCAAATTCTGGAAACCTTTGCCTCGCATCCTATTAAAAGTAGAAGATTGTTACTTACAGATGACTAATAATTTTTAAAAGTCACTTCCCTACACACCCTTCAAATTGAATGTGTTATGTAAAGAGAAGGGAAAAAAATAGTAACCCGTCTCAAACATGCCAGCACACACAGTGACTAAGCAGTACAGGGCAACAGCTCTTTTTTTAATCACGGAATGATTTCT